TGTTTCTTTTAATGTTGTACGCCGCCCTGAGTCCTTGGGAGAAGGGCGGCATATAAATCGAATAAACCTAAATCTAAAATACATCTCTTTCCTGCTCTCCGCAGATTTGTTACGGATGTTTTTTGACTGCCTGTACGACGAGGAGGTGATATCAGAGGATGCCTTCTACAAATGGGAAAGCAGCAAAGACCCGGCGGAGCAGAACGGGAAAGGCGTAGCGCTCAAATCCGTCACCGCGTTCTTCACGTGGCTACGAGAAGCCGAAGAAGAGTCTGAGGATAATTAAAACTGAATATACAAAAAAAAAAAGAAAAGAAAAAAACAAAACAAAAAACAATTTAAGTATTTTTTTTAAAAAAAGTTTCATGTCTTCGCCAATCACAGTGCAGCAAGGCCAATAACTCGCGCAGAATCCCCTATCCCCACGTGTGCACGAGTGGGGGAGAGGCAAAAAATAAATAAAAAATAAGTCACACACGCAAAGGCGATCATGGAGGACAAAAAGTACTTGAAAATTCAAGTCCAACGCAAACCTGAGGGGCAGGAGCACTAAAACCAAAATACATCTATTATTTATAGAAACTATTTTCTGTTTTAATCTTTTTTTTCCTTTTCATTTTTTAAACAAGGACTCAATACTTTAAGAAGAACAAAACCTGTTCAGACAACAACAAACAAACAAAAAAACAAAACCTCAGAACTATAATTTATTATTTTCAAGAACTGCAAATGTCAGTGTAATTTTTAAATTTGCAGTTTCTGTAACAAATTGTATGATAGACAAAAAAAGAACAAAAGCAGAGAAATAAATTTCCCTCCCTTTCAGATCCAACCTCGGTTTTGTTTGAAAACACACCAGTACCTGAGTCATAACTTCTAAAAAAAAGGGGGGGGGTCAGGAATGAGGAGATAGTAGATGAAGCAGAGGAATGTTCGGGGGGAAAAACAAAAACACAAAACATTCAGATCTTTCTGCCTGCCTCTCGGGTTGCTTCTGAAATTTAAAAGGAGCCAAAAAACAAAACAAAAGGGTAACCTTGGACCTAAGGAATTGCATATCGGAAAACTCGTCTTGAACCAAACTGGCTGGAGAATAAGTTGTTCAAAACAGTCCTCCTACCCCTGGACACAGAAGAAGGGGGAGGGGAAAGGCCTAGTGATACTTAACCTTTAGAGCAAACTTTTAAGGCTTGTAAATACAATAGAACAAATATTTTAAAAAAACAAAACCAACAAAAAAAACAACGAAATTGACTCCATACTATTCTTTTCACTTTTCAAAAAAATACACAGAACCAAATAAAGATCAAAACTTTGCAAGTTTAAAAAAGCACAGGAAGTAGCTTCTCTTTGGACAGTAGAGCCAGAGGTGCTGCTCCTTGGCCCAGCCTCTGCTGTGGAAGGACCCACGTTCCAGGTGGGACTTGGGGCAAATGTCACGGTCCAGCAAGCAAGGTGGGGGGAAAGAGTTAAAGACTCCCAGGCCTGAATAAAGAGGAGGTAAGGTAGCAGCTGACTGGGCAAAGCTTTGCTTACACCAGTTTTCCTTGTCTTTTTTTTATCATTGGGGAATTGCAGAAACGAATTATGTGGGGTCATTCAACGTGGGAAGGATGGCTGGAGGAGTATTTTTGGGTGCTCTTCACACTGTTGTGCATGAGGCTGTTAGTGCACAAGGATGTGCAGATCAGGGTTGAACTGGAGAGGGGGTGGTCTGGCGGGGACTGCTCGCCCAGCTACATCAAGGGCACCGTTCCAGCTGCAAGAACATCCCAGAAGCAGCCCATGGAGCAGTGTTTCTCAACCTTAGCAACTTGAAGATGTCTGGACTTCAACTCCCAGAATTCCCCAGCCAGCATTGGCTGGCTGGGGAATTCTGGGAGTTGAAGTCCAGACATCTTCAAGGTGCTCAGGTTGAGAAACACTGCCATGGAGCAAAGCGTGGACAGCCCCACCGTCTTAGGGTGCACGGAAGTCCCTTGGGGAGCATCCCAGTCCAAGGATCGAGGGCAGCGGAGCGAAAATACACGCATATTTTTTTATGCATTTCCTAAAAGTTTTTT